TCTCTGCTTGTACATACACTCCTATACATTGGTATTACCTTACAAGGTCAGGCTGAGTACATGCATGTGAAACCTTTGAAACGATTATAAATGTCTGTGTCTCACCGTTGTTAACTACGTTTCCCTTTGTTTTTTCTCTTTAGTACACGATGAATGTGTGGTTGGAGCACTGCAAAACTGATGGATTTCGAAAGGATTCGAACTCGCAAATCCCGCTTCAAAATCCAGTTCACTAACCACTACACCACTCTACATGCTGCGTGCTGCATCAGCACTGTTCGAGGCCGCGCAGGGGTCCCTCTATGAAAAAAAGCCCATAACTTTGTCAGGATTACTGTTACGCAGATCTGGAGCACGGATATGAGATCAGCGTTCCCAAGCCTACATAACGACATATGAATCATTTCAAAGCTTCAAGGCACCTAGTATCCTTTTCTTGTAGGTCATTTCTATCACCTATGAATTCTGCGTTTCAGGGATCTGTGTTGAAATATGTTTTCTAAAATATGACGCAAATGTTGTAAGTCAAGATCATCAAATGTTCAAAAAATTTACTTTGCAGCTTGCAGAATAAAAAGTAAATACACACTCTCATCTATTCACAATGTCATATGACATAGAACATCTCAAGAGAAATCCTTAGGCTATTGATAAACAAGAGAAAGGTCGATAGATCAAAAATTGATCTGATTGAGAGCAGGACGAGGCAGGATGCGAGTATGAAAACGACAAAGGACGAAAAAAATTGAAGAGACAGTGAAAAGATGCGAAGATGAAAAGCTAAACAGAAACCGGGACATACCTACCGAAAGCAACAATTTAAATTTGTGAGAAGCGCCATCGACTCTTAAAAAAAATTGGACGGCCTATGCAGATCTTTTTGCACAAAATGAGCAACACATTGAAGAAGAAAACGGGGTCCGTGCGTTCATATAAACTACCGTAGCAATTTCCTTCATTGCCGTATTTTCTTGTCATGGCAGGCTATACTTCAGGATTGAGCATACTTGTCCTGCGGAAGTTCCGGTGAATTGTCTGAGTAATTACTTCTGCTACGCTCACATTAAAAAGGGCAAAGGGTGGACACTCCGGAAATGTAAGTCATTCGAGTATAAATCTCAAGATACAAATTCGAGGAATACGTATGCTAAATTCTTCTGCTTGCAAAACGGATTTGTTTTTATCCTGTTTGCTCACTAGTTGAATCAATAGGAATCAGACAAGATTTGCAAAACAGTCTCAATATGTGCTCCTTGTTCTCGTATCTTCGACGGTGGGTCCACAGAAAATGATTTTAGAACTAAAGGAGGCTCATGAGCGTGCAAGATAAAATATTCGGGGTAAACTCC